TGTGTTATGCTATAATAAATTCCTCTTGTGATATAATTATTATAACACTGCTTAGAAATGTGCTATACAAGAACAGTTATATAACTTTATAACTGCACTACAACCCTAAAAGTAGCAGTACTGTTGTTTATCCCATCCAACACTTTTGGTTTTTGCATTGCCTGAAGTAAAACATGTCAAGAACATCCAATAATGATAATATAATATAATAATATAATCTCAAGAGCAGGCAGGAGATAGCTGCAGGGAGGCAGAAAATGTTTGATCACAGTCGCAGTGGTTCCAACGCTGACAGAAGCATCTGGAGAGCATCCAGGACATGCTACTGGAGACAGCATGTCAACCTGCTGTTACCAGCTGTGCAGTCAGCAGCAGCAGTAACAAACAGAACAGACATGATGAGGATAATGGAGGCAGAAACTGCTCATGTACCCAGCAGTGACCCATTGATCATAAACCATCGCCATCATGAAGTTGTCATCAATGATCAATCATTAGAGTAAAGGCAGTATTAAAATATTCCTACAGTATTTGTGCCATGTGCCAATGGACAGAATTGGAATGCTTTTTAAATATTTAATCTCCAAAATAAAATATCATAATCTATCAAAAATAACATAAATGACAAAGCAAGATGATTTAATACCTTTTACCTGTATTATATTTACTGTTGCAGATGCAGTCAGTCACACACCCCTGTAAGTTGTTCCAGAACCTAAAAATCATTTCCTAATCACTGATAAAGGGCCAAAAATGTCTGACAACTCGCATGTAGTATTCCTGAGCTGTTCCTACGAGAGCAAGGAGACCTTGAATTTATTTAAAGATTTTATTACTGGTTTTTTTTTGCCTGCACAGCTCCTGCTTATGTCTGAGATCTGCTGATTCCCTACAAGCCTGATCGCTGCTTGAGATCATCTGGCAGGGCTCTACTGAGATCTCACTTTGTTGCAAATGGCCTCTTTCCACTGCAGGGACTTAAATACCTGTAACCTGGGCATAAACTGAACTTTTAACAACATGTGAGGCTCTGAGGTCCATGCCTTTTGTCTCTGTTTTTCAAGTGGAGTAAGAAGTTGTAGACAATGGAAGAAGTTGCGCTGATATTATTATTGATTTTCTTAGACATTTACACTGAGAGCAGGTCACTGCTGGGGCCAGTAGCCCATGAAAGCCACTTTGTTGTTTGTTAGGTTACTCAACTGTACGTGTGGTACACTTTATTTTTCTTAATCTTGTTTGATCTTTTGAATTTTTCTCCCCTCTCTTTGGCTGTGTTGTATCCTCATTTCTACGAGACAATGTTTGTTTTATGGGCAATGTATGCATATTGTGCTATGAAAGTGCTTAGCCACTGCCCCTTTACTAGTTGAAACCAGCTATTGCAATTGAATTTATCTATTGGGTGATCTGGAGGCAGGTGACATATGTTGTGGCAGCTTTTGTCACCAACCAACCCCTGCTCCTATAAAACCAACATCTCAACTGTGCAGACCGTGGCCTGCTACTCCCCCACAGTACTCCGGCTACTCTGACCTAGTCAGTGTGATTCTCTGGTCTGTGATACGAGTTACCCTGTCACACACTCTGTAGCAACAAGGCCATGCCCCCTATGTGATTCTCTCTGCTGCATTTTAAAATTTGCTGTGAGGGAGGAAGTTAGGAGAATTTAGGGGTTTAGATACACTTTAATTGACAATAGAGAGATTACAGGAAATGGTGGGAGTGAGAAACGGGGGATAGTAAAAGGTCCCTGGCTGGACTAGATCTGGAAATGCCACAACTCATGGTCGGTGCCTCAAACCCCTAAACCACAAGCACCCCTACCTTTTTCTTTGTAACTGCTACCTAAAGCTCCTTCTGAATGGCCTCCTGCCCACAAATACAAAGGAGGGCCTGCAAATGGTGATTTGTCTTGCTCCATACAGATGCAGTAGATAAATGGTGGTTACTGTTGTTGTATTTGTTGTCATTGCCCTTGTTGACATTATGTCAATTCTGCTTGACAAATCACTTTAAACACTTCTGGCAACCTTGGTAAGTAACTGGACTTTGCATTTGGTATCACCCAGTTTCAGGAACCTGTCCCCAAAACATGCGGAAAACAGTGGGAACAAAAGCAAACAACATGACAATGGCTACATGTTTATCAAATCCCTGCAGTGAAAAAGGACTGGCTCAGTTGGATCTAACACAACTACGCCCGATATTTTGTTACCCAGAACCCTCTGGGAAGTTGTCATAGGAAACTATTTGAAAAAGGGCAAGCACTGCACAAAATACTCGACAGATGGTAGATCATCTATCTGTCACAAATTTATCACATACAAATTTCAACCAAACAGATCAATGAACCATATAACATAGTCAACTATGTTAATAGTCAATAGTCTAACTCTTAATAAAGCCAGTCGGGACAGGAGTGAAAACATCTTTTCCATGGAAAAAAAGCTTTCTTTGCTCTTCTGAACGAAGAAAGTTCTGATATAACTAATAGCAGAATCTACGCTAACCTCTTTAGCAGCTGCTACTGTTGTTTTTGGAGCACGCAGTCGCTTCTCACACATGTTGTCACACACATAGTGTATGCCAGTAGCTCATGCCATAGCTATCAGTAGTTCCTTATAGAACACTGATTTGTCTGAACCACTGTGGTAGGACACAAGCCCATAGCTTGAAGCCTGACAAGATGGATTCCCACGTGATCTGCCATCTGCCGAGCAAGGTTACTGTGGATCTCCCTGCACAACAATAATTAAAATTTGTTGTATTTTTTTCTGTAATTCCCATCTCATTTTATTGACTATAATTTTACCTTTATTTTTTTAACCTTCTTTAAACTTATTATCCTTGTTTTACTGTTTGACTATTACTGTAAACGGACATTTACATTTTCTGACACTTGTCTGTCCAAAGCAACATTTTTTTCCTTATACACAGCAGTTTGGGGTTTCATTGTATTGCTCAGGGATATTTGAGAGGAGCTCTGGGATCGAACCACCAACTGTACAACTAATAGCCATCCCACTCTACGAACTGAGCCCCAAAAGCTCTTACTGCAAACACTAGTTCATTCAGTGATCAGATGAGTGGTCAGCCCATCGTCAGAATTGGAGCCAGAGGAAGTGAGATGTATTGGTGTATTCCATGCAGGCACAGAGCTGAAGATGAAAGGGAGAGGCAGCAACCTGTTTCTTTACTGGATGATGTCTGTGCCTCACACAGCCAGTGTCACTTCACCACACTGTGATCAATAAGAGGCCATTCCTGCATTTCAAGTGTTCCCCTGTTCACTCCCACAGAGCTCCCAGACAATAGGGCCAGCAGATAACATGCTCTGAACCTTAATAAAAGTCATGGAGTTTTACTATCAGCAGCACCAGCATACAGATCTACCATGATCCTGGGAACACTACCCAGCAATCATCTGTGCAACAAAACACGAAGCTTTTACACCATGTGTTACTTTAAAACAGACACACACACAGCTAGTGCCCAGTACTGAGTAGTGTCAATTCTCCGGTGAGTATGGAATACCCACCACTGAGGTCCCCAAGGTATGGACCTCAGTATTTTTTCCAAAGGGTATACAATAAGACTTGTGAAATAATTCCCTAAAAAAATAACTACTTTGATGCTTTGATGCCATAAAGCCCACCTAGCAAGTTCAGTTTTTGGACCTTGGTATTTCTAATCATCATATTGAAAGTATTAGCAGACTGAAATGATGCTGGCGTATCCTCTATCTGTGTCCTACTCTGTCTGTCTGTGTGAATCTATCGTGGCGTCACCCATTGCTTTGTGGAGTACCGTTTTGAAGTCTTGAGTTTGGCATTATGGTCGTTGCCAGACGGTTCGATGGAGCCAGCGGAGGTGACGTACTGTAAATTGAGCTGCTGTCATGGCTCTGCAGTTTCGTCTCGTTCGTAGCAGGAAACAATTGCGGCTCACCTGGTCTCACAATCTTGTATTATAGCTAAACAGTACAGTAAAATATGTTTTTGAGAACATTTTAAGTGAGAAATAGGCAACGCAGTGACAGTCAATCAATCACAAGGTAGCCACACCTAAAAGCATATGTGGCTTTATCGTCTATTTTACTCTAAATTGGACCATAATTTACATCCAGTTTGAAATAGATTCAAATGAACACATTTGAACATCAATGGCAGTGTTGATGAAGGGGTACTGGAGTTCTTTGGACTGGGTTATATCTGGGGTACATCTTACAAACAGGTTGGGAAGATTGGGCTGTACTTACTAAATGCTTTATTAAGGAAGAAAAGCCTCCGGTTCCTTGATGGATGAATGAAGGAGGGGGTCTACTGCCTACAAAGGTTTAGTTCCGTGTTGATGTGTTGAACTGGAGACTAAGGATGGAGTTGGATTTCATCCTTGTACTCATGAAAGCACTGACCAGTTCTCTCACAATTCAGCTAATAACATTTCCACGGAATTGGCTTGTTGGAAACACACATTCATATAAATAATTGAGTTAATTCTAAATCAAGAACAAAAAACTCATGGATTCTAAACATTGGGGTCAAATACTGGTTTAACCCTCATATTTAACATGTTTGTTAACTATCTTATCTTTCTATCTTAAAGTTAAAACTGCAGCTTTAACTCAACATGTTTCCCTCATTTCAGCAATCTTCTGTAAATTAGTTTCAGTATCTTAAAAAAAACAGATGTAAATGGATTGATGCATTAGTATCAATGAAACAACACTGTAATAAATTCAGGTAAAATAATACTAACTGGTAAAGGTTGAGAAATCCTGAGAAAGATGTTTTTATGTCTTATAGTAGGCGTACAGCCATAGATGATCCACTCTCCACTAAAGATAATCTACAGCAATGCTTTTTTTCAAGTACACAGCTATTTTGCTGCTGTAGAAAAACATAAAAACTGCATTAATGTGTTCATCATACATTTCCAGCAGCCTCTGCAGCTCCAGATGATTCTGTTGATAAGCCGCATTTTAATGTCTGTCTTACCAGGTTAGAGGCTCCTCGCACCGTTTCTGGGTTGAGCATGACGATCTCAGTGGTCACATGACCCTCCACAGCCTCCGTCATCTGCTCCACAGTACAGTTGATGGATGGGTCATTGATCTTAAACCAGTTGTCAGCGTACCAGCCAATGAGGAACCAGACATACTTTTTCCCATACAGCTTCTCCTTGTACACCTGCAGAGTACACCAGGAGGGAGATCTGTGACGCATGAACAGCTACTGAAAAGAAAGGAACTTACATTTGATGTGATATATATATTATTATATGCAAGTGATTGATGGATTTGATGCACAATTTAGCATTCACCATGCCCCGTCTGACTGAAATGTACGTAGGTGATATTTCAATGGAAGTGTTGGCCATGTTGGGTCAGTCAGTCTTAAGGTTTGAACTAATTATGTGTGGTCTGGGTGGTTTGGAGATACTGAGTTTTCAAATAGCAAAACTGACATGCAGTTATGTGCTCTTTTGTTATTTTCTTTATTAAGTACCAGGCACTTTAAAGGTAAAATATGTAATATAGGGGTGTATTAAAACCTCTCGAAATAATTGGGAAATTACTTTAAAAAAAAGTAATATCTTGTATATTTACATCTTCCTTGTTTAACTATTATTGGAACAGCGAGTTAAAATTAAGGCTTAGATCACTTACTGGGAACTCTGCATTAATTATTTTTATATTTTAGAGAACAGTGTAAATTACATTTTTGACTGTAATGTCCAATAGAAGTGTACACCACTCTCACACATGTATACTTGGTGACCTCCAAGTATACATGTGTAAGTTACTTACAGTCCTTGTAGTTTGCATAATATTGGTTATCTATGAAATTAGACATTAGAACCCAGTATGAAACATTTTAAAAAGACTCTTGCATTCAAGTAGCAGGGAGAACACATTACCTCACAGAACACCTTCCTGGCCTCCGTCTCATAGAACAGGCCAACAATAATTCTGGCATCTTGGCGCTTGGAAGTGAAAAAGAAATGGACAGAGTCACAAAGGGTGCACAAGTTAAAGCCCTGCAGTATGGAGCCAACCCTCCTTCTAGCCTGTGCACCACACAGCGGTACATTTCCTCTCTACTGGGTTACATTCATGCTGTTACCATGGTTTCTTCTGCAATGGCCAATTCATTCTGCACACCAAAACTAGGCCAGCATGCTGGGCAAGGTCATTGTAAAGTGTGTGTGTGTGTGCCAGAAAAGAAGCAAGTCAGGACCTACACAGGTGAGGGAAGGAGAGGAGGAAGGAAGGGAAGGAGAGAGGAGAGGTACAGAGCTAAGATAGAGGTTAAAACACAGCAGACCCCAAATTAGACTCAACTCTAAAAAAAAAAAGGTTTAGTACACAGTTTTGTGTTGCATTGCAGCAATACAGTTAGCCAATCACAGGGTGCCCTGAAACAAAACACTGTCTTGTTTTTGAAATTCAAGTTAAATTCAGTGATGGTTGAATGCTTATTACGGTGTATCAAGGTGGACATTTTAGTGATCATTAATGTACTGTATCTGAGAACACTTCAATATTGGCTTCAAAACGTATCAGTTTTTCCTACAGTTTGGGCCACTGTGCAGCTCCATGCAGCATCTTGCTAAATTACACAGTACGGGCATGAGACTGCTTTTGTAATTTCTGGGCTATTGTTGTTAAGTATCCAGTAGCGCTCTGTGATGAACTGGCCAAACAACGTTTGACTGATTGGCGTATGTGTAAGAAGAATGGAGGGATCTGGCACCTTGAGATTTTTGACAGCCACAGCGGGGTCGGTGAGGAAGCTCTGACGAACGCTGATCTCAATGCCTGCCTCCGCCACCCTGTCCTCCAGATCATCCAGAGTCTGTCAAACACAGAGAGACATACACAATAATGAGCAAGTAGAAGATGACAGAACAAGAGAGACAGCTAGCAAAATAGGAGTGGGAAAGATAATGGAATGGTAGGTCGGAAGAAATTTGAAAAAGAGTAAACAGCAATTGAAGTAAGAGCAAAGCAGTGAGGGGGAAGATGAGTGAGAGGTTTAGAAAGATGATGGCGGGTGCGTGGGTGATGATACCAACAAGCAGAGAGAAAGAGAAAGAAACCAAGAGAAGGTAGACTTGATAGTAGATGGGAATATAGGCGAGGGAAAAGACCACCCCCCGACACCTGGCCCATTTTCACTTCCAGCATCTGGATTTTCCTGCATATGGTACCTCTCTAACTAGCTTTAAACATGCCTCCAACTATGTTTTTATGGACACACAGTATCATATTTTAATTTTCAGGTCTTCCCCCATTTAAGTGGGTGTGTGACAGCTTACATGCACACATAATAATGTTTAATATAAGTAGCTGCTGCTGACTCGTGAAGTAAAAAGTTAAAAGAAAAACAAACCTGTAAACATAAAGGCTTAAAGAGCCTTTATGCTCATTTCCAGGTGTATATTCTCAGAGACTCCACCAGAGTAGCTCTGCATGATTTACATCTTAATTTATCTTATACTGGCCCTGCAGCAGCAATTCCGGCCTTTTAAAGCCCCCCTTCCCTAAAAGTTCACTTTTTTCTCGTTTTTACAGTCAAAAAGCCTCCAGGCAGCATTAAAACCATTGTAAATTCTGAATATATATATGCCTGTGGATGTACAGATAACGTGCAATGTCTATTCATCCATTAAGTCCTTTTTTGTCATCTTTGTATGGTTCCGAAGTCATAAAAGCTCAAAATTAAATTAATTCCTGTCCCAATAGAGAAAAATTGTTGTCACTGTGACAAATTAGTTTTTTTTTTACTTTTGGAACAAAATCCGACAACCTGAAAGTTTTGTAATTTTTGAAACATTGGGTTCTTGATTTCAGACAGGTACAATAAAGCAGCTTCTTCTTTCTGGGATTTTGCTTACTGTTAACTGGACATGCTAATGATAAGCACACTGTTTAATATAGTCCTTACACTTTTGCAAGTCTTTTGGTGTTTGACAGGATAAAGAAAAACAACACACAAAATCTTTAAATGCCAAGAATCTCTCTTACTTGAGCTCCATGCACACTACTTCAACATGCAGAGAAATCTAAAGCTTGACGGGCCTGCTGTGTCTAGTTATGGTTGTTGAGCTACGACTGGACAATCGCTGTTCAGGAGACTTAACAAAAGTTAACAGAGGAGATCAAAATACAATCACTAAGGAGGGAAGAAACTTGGGAAATTGGGGTGCTATAACAAAATCTATGACAGTACTTTTAAATACTGATGATTGGGGTTTTCTGTTTTAGTACTGTTTGCTACTTTTCAACATTTTAGCTAAACACATGACTCACTGATGTAAAAACTTCAGTTGTTTGCTGAATGGTGGCAATCTTGGTCCATTTCCACTTCTGGAAGAGCTGCACTCGAGTGGGGTTATGCAGCGTGGCAGAAGGATGAGTGCGGAAGAAAGTGGGAAAGCGCTGGCGGTTGGACAGAGCCGGCGAGCTGGAGCCATACGACAGCTGAGACACAGGGAGACAGAGACAACCATATTAATGCTAGCGTGATCCTGATAACTTACAATGCTGCAAAACGGTGACTAAAAACAACATCTGGGAACACAGAAACAACACAAAAATAGTTAAAGCTAATGTTAGAAAGCAGTAGGCATAAGGCAATATGAAAATTTCAATTTCATGTCACAATTTGCTGGCCAAAGTGATACACGATATTGTCACGAAAATATACTTCATACTTTTAAAATTACACTAAAATATACTGGAATCACTTTGCCTTACATATTGTTAAGAAATGCATATTTATTGTATGACAGGTAGGAACCTCATCTACATGTTCTTTATTTTGGAATCTATACTATTTCCACACATCTAATTTAACAGTTTTTGGCTCGGGCAAGTTGAGCCATGGTGACAGGGTTTGCAATGACTGGAAAGATTTGGTCTCCCTCTTGTACCATCGTTCGAAATTAACCAGGAAATCAATAAAGGACTGGAGAGCTACAGCTTTTTCAAGCCAAGCCATGTGACGATATTCATGATTCACAATTATCACGGTGATGGAAATTCTCCACAATAAACGTGAGTTTTTTTTATAGCAATATATCATAATATCATACATTATATAAACATTAATTACCAAAAGTCGAGTATTTAACACATTTCAGTGCTGTCGAGGGCTAGAATTGACATTGCTCAGTCTAAGACTAAGGCCCTGCAGACAGCCTGGGGGAATACATGAGAATGGAGCCATAATCAGTTTATAGTACAACATCCTTCAGATAAATCACACTAGATTCAATTTGCTGCATTGAATGCCTGTAGTTTTAGGCAGTACATTATAAAGTGGACAATGACAAAGAAATATGGGACACAGTCGTACTGTAGGAATCGGAGGAAAATGTCTCTCTAACATAAAAATAGCAGTGCTTATTAAAAATGAAGGAATATGTCTGAAGGTTTTTTTAGTGTGAGTGCACTTTACTAGCATTCCCCAAAGAGCAGAATGACATTAATGCTGCACTTTGCTCCAAGCTCAGAGATGTTAGTCTGGAAGGGTCCCTACCTCCAGACAGCCACACTGATTAATGAGTAATTGATCTGTTTATTGGACGCTCTAGAGGCAGCTGTAAGATGGCTCAGTATCTACATCCCTATGTAGCAAACAATAGATTGGTTTCTTTGTAGCATCTAATGTACAGGGTATGGGTAGCACAAGGAAAAATATCTTGGAGTGGGAATCAGGGGTGTGTCCAGAGAGGGGACCTGGGATGGCACTGGCATCCCCTGAAATGTGATTGGCCATCCCAATATCCTTACCTCTTCCAGTCTTTCAGAGGCTGTAGTGGGTTCAGTTTTAAAGCTGGAGTGGAGAACTGGTATCATATGAAACTACAACCATGTCAGGACGGTGCTCCAAAGTGAGGCAAAATTCTGGAGATAGAAAAACTGCAAACAATATTTGGTGACTTTGACCTGAATATATCTGCATGAAAATAGGTTCTATGGGTACCCACTCATCACCCCTTTGAAGACATGCCCACATGCTAGTCCCATGCAATTTTTGGAGAAAAAACTTCAGTCAGAAAAGGTTTTTCAACTTAACTGTTATTTTAAAGCTGAGTGTAGGACTTTTAGATATTAATGTACGTCTGTTATACTAAAGCCCTTGGCAAACGAGTTTACACAATGCTGATTAAGCCAACCACTGTCACAGTGGAGGGACACATCTACTCAGTAATGTACTCAGGCTGTTTGAGGTGCGAAAAGCTGAAAACCACTGAGCAGCTTTCTTAGGAATGAACAAAGTGCCACCTCCTACGCTATATCCAGTTCTCTTTATACATCCA